AATTAATTTAAAATATTTTTCAGCATTAATTTAGATTCAACTTTATCACCAGTTGAATTACTGCTCTATCTCCAAAATTTATGGAATTACTAGAAAAGGTTTGTTAAATTAAAATTAAAAAAATGAAAAGTTTATTATATTAACATTTAAATTTTAAGGGAAAGATAAATCGTTTTCCTTAGTATTGGAATTTGCAGATAATGGAGAAATGATTGATTATTTTCGAAATAGATGTCAAACTATTTATATGGATGATTTTGTTAATATAATTGTTCAAATTGCGAGATTATTATTAATTTTGCACAAAGAAGATATTTTTGGCATTAATATCATATGGCAATTTCTCATAATAATTTGCAAATCACTTTTATTCTATTATTAAATTATTCTGATTTTAGAGTTCCAATATTTTACTTGATAAAAAGAGAAGAGTTAAACTGTCAAGTTTGGGGCTATCAAAAAGAATTATAAAAGGTTTTCAAAGCAAAAATCAAGATATTATCGATTTTAAATCTATTTTTGAATATATAAAGTTTAAGCATGGAAGATACAACAAATTATTTAAAGATAATGAATTTACTTTATTTTAATATTTATAATAATTGTATTAATTATGGCAACATTATTGTGACAGATTGTATAAACTCTAGAAGTTTAGAAGAATGTATTAATAAATTGGAATCTATAGTTCGCTCTAATAAATGTAAATGTAATTTATGTTTATTCATTATTGTAAGTACAAAAGCTAATTAATTTTTTTGATAGGACGGGAAGTCAAAATTGTCGTATTTAAAAATGAAAAAAAAAAACATTTAGTAAACTTTTGAAGTATAACAATAAGAATAGTATCGCATCAAGAGTTAAATTGAAACATGGGGGAAGCATTGGTCAAAGAGTAAAAAACTACATATTGAAATGAAACGTAAAAAATAATACAGAAGTGATCATCTGGAGTATAATTACAAATACTTCTTTTTCATTTTCACGGTATCTGTGTATCAATAGAATGTAAGTTTATTACTACGGGAATTAAATTAGTTTTTGGTCGTAGAGTTTCTTCGCCATTATCACGGTGAATTAAATTGTTTGCTAATTCTACATACCGGAATTAATATATCTAGTTTATATACAATCATTTACTTCGACAATGTAATTCAACAACGTATTAAACAATAAATATTCCAAGTTAAAATAATACATTTTAGGTTGAATTGATTTGAGATTTTGAGTAAACTATAATAAGTATTGTGTATTTTAAGTAACTTATAAATTAAGGCAATTCTGTGACAACTAAATTTTGAGCTTTAAATGTAATTAGATACTCAATTAAATGACAAGACAAAAATTTAATTCGAGTCAGAAAATGTTAATTGAATTGTCATTCATTAATAATCTGACTAACTGCATCAAAAATAAATAAATCCCTTTCATAAAACTGCAATTTGATTAATAGCTTTGATAATTTGAAACAGTTATAAAGAACTTTACAGAATTCAAAAAAATTTAATCAGAAGTTATTCAGTGAATAAATATAAACCACCTGAATCTCAAATGAATTATGCAAATAATCGCTCAATAATTAGCGTTAACTGAAATATAAATAATAAGTATCAAAATGAGGATTAGGGTGTTGAATTAAACGAATCAATTAAATAAACTAATTAACTAAATTAAACATTTTACAAATATAGAAACCAGACAATTCAATAAGACATTGAAATATAGATGATAATTTTAAATATATCTTTTCAGATGCTTGTAAAAATTCATGATAGTTTTTTATTTTATTAGACGTATAAATCTACATATTTGGTAGAAATCATCATTTTTTAGCTAACACTTTTATGGAAACATTAGAATTTACTTTTTTATAAATATGATATTTTATTACAGTCGCCACTGACGTATAAATCTACAAATTTGGTAGAAATCATCATCTTTTAAAAGCTAACACTTTTATGGAAACATTAGATTTACTTTTTTATAAACATGATTATTTTGTTCACGACCATTTGGACACTAGTACTTGTGACAATTTATCAATACTAAAAAAATATAAATACTGATTTAAAAAGTTTTACTTAGGTAGAGCCTAATCTTCTGAAATGCTGGTATATATATAATTTATGTTTATTTAGTTGAAATTTTTCAATTTACATAGATTGAAAATCCTTTTACGAATACGCATTAAGAGGATATATTTATTTTTCTTTAATTTTATGTATTGGGGACAAAGAACGAGGGATAGATAAGAGGGAATGGTATAATAAATATGAAAGTAAATATTTTTGGTTTATTTATAATGAAAGAAAATGATATTGAAATTTTTTTTAGAAATTAACGAAGAAAATAAAGAAACGGAAAAGAATCAGAGAATAATAAGAACAATAAACCATGTGTATGGTGTGTATTAAGGGGAAGGTTTGTTGCATTATGTAGAAAGAAAAAATCGGAGGATAATTTAAATCGTGGATATGAAACAAGATTCTATTAAGATAGCTTTTAAAAAGTTTTCCACAATTAAAAATTTTTAATGATTCAATAACAAACATTAAAAATATTTCTCTTTTCGCAATGATTTTAGTATTTATTGCACATTTACAGTGGTCGAAAAAAGTCCTCGGAATTACAAAAAAATGCAAAAAATGAGCAACCAGTGATCAGAATTGCTTCAAATTTTGCAGATTTATTACCAAATATGTGAATATTATGCATACAAAATTTCAGCTGTTTATCTTGCTTTTTTGTCTCGCAATCGTTTTTTTAAGTTCAAAAAAATAAGTCATCAAAAATTTAACCTACAAAAAATCTGAAATTCTGATATAATATTCAAATTGAAGTTTATTAAAAATTGAACAGTTATAAATCATAGTTTATGGTATGATAATTTTAACAAAAAAAATTTGGCCCTTTATTATTTGTTAGTTGTTGAGAAAATTGAAATTAAAGTTTATCCACCACAATTGATCGCAACTGTTTTCAACCCTTAAAATCAATTGAAAGAACTAAAATTCATAATCAAAGTTAAACTATAATAATTGTAAAAAAATTATTGTAAAAACTATTTAATAATAGATTAATATTATTCAAATATACAAAAAAATTATCAATACAAATAATTTTAATGTACTATGATTTTACTATTTTAATTTTAATGACTTTAATGCTTTTGAGCCAATTTTTAATCTCACTTTACAGAAAACTGACTGATTAAACTATAATCAAATTTTTTTAATAAACTAATTAGAAATATATTTTTTTAAATTTATAATTTTTTATTATAAGTATAAAAGCTGATTTTTAGTAACTGAACGCAAAATGTTAATCATTTCAAGTTATCGTATTGCTTAAATTTTTAATGATTTTTTTTTGAACTTAAAAAACCGATTGTGAGACAAGGCAACAAGATAAATGGCTGAAATTTTGTATGCATAATATTCACACATTTGGTAATAAATCTGCAAAATTTGAAGCAATTCTGATCACTGGTTGCTTAATTTTTGCGTTTTTTGTAATTCCGAGGACTTTTTTCGACCACTGTA